AAAAAAAAAAAAGGAATTAGGAATTAACAATTAAATTCAAATTTTGGTATTAAAATAAATTTATTTTGGATTACTAATTATCCTAAATAAAATCATTGAAGCAACATGTTACTAAAGTAACCTCTATTATCTAGATTAAATTATTTGGAATATTAGGAAAGTCATGTGTTTGTAATTCATACGGATATTTACCAGTCCAAATGAAGGTAAATATTTGATCGAATTACATGCACATCTGTGTTAATAAATATGTAACAATTGTAAGGTTTTGTTTTATGTAAATAATAAATTGGTCCAAAATAGGTTTATTGTTTGACATAGTTTATTGTCAATATTTGATTACTACACCAAGAGTACCACTTACAAGTTGGTATTTTTGTCCAAATATTAAATATCAATATTGTGCTCGATCTTTTGTGATAATGTTTACCATTATTTAAATTAATTAATTGTTATATACTGATTCTATTGTGAACGTATTTCTTTGACTTTGTTCTCTATTCAGTTAACTTTTCTACTTTTACAATATGTATGCAAACATCAATTTTATTCATGTGCTAAATGGAACCAACTTTCAGGATTGGAAAGAGAACGTTCAGATCATTCTTGCCTGCATGGACTTAGACTTTACGTTAAGGATTGAACAACCCGCTACACTTACGGATAAAAGTTTCGCTAATGATAAAAAAAGGAATTTGATAAGTAGAATTGTTCAAACCGCATGAGTCTTATGATCATGAAGCATGGTATTCCAGAATCATTCTAGATTCTCATACCCGTTTCGGGGCAATGACCATCGCCCAATCCCCGTCCCATTTACTCGATTTGGCGGGTAAACGGGGCAGGGCCACACTGATTTCAGGTTGAATGTTCAACCGTCATTTATTACGTTTATAAACGATTAACCCTGTTATGGTTACTTTTGATATTATATGGATGCAATGAGCAGAAACAGAGAAATTTTTTTATTTTATAATTCAAAATCTTACACAAGAAATAGAAAACCGGCGTACACCATTTATTATTGGTAATGGAAGTAGTACTCACAATACAGACATGGTGCCAGAATTGGAATAGAACATGTAACAAAGAGCCTAATTAAAAGTACTACTGATTCTCATGTCCTTTTTTTTTTCCTCCCAAACAGCGTAGTCTATTATTCCAGAGGTTGCATGATTCTCATGTCTTACAAAGCTTTCCTCGGATCAGACGAATGTTGGCCCTTGAGTACGAAGACAGACTGGAACTAGGAGCTTAACTGCCCGGTCGAGCAAAATGAAAGGTTTAGAGCCTAGAGGATGATCCCTTGGGGTAGTGGATGACAAGATGATTATAGGCACCAAGGGTCAGAAAATCATCTAAAATTGGTGTAGTGCACTGTCTGGTAAAAATCTTGCAAGCCTCCTTGTACTTTCCTTTCTTAAATTTCTCTTGGCCAACTTCTCTCTCAATCCTAGTCATTTCCTCTTCAACTACTCGCCCGAAGAGCTCACGAGTCACCTTCACACCCAGGCCATCTCCATCCAATTGGACTCTATATTTCAACCACTGCCAGTTCTGGACTCGGCTTATTTCAGCTGTGGCTGCATCCTCCATGAGGTTGTATAGGGGAACGGATCCGGTTCCCGTGAGCCATGCTGCCAAGTACTGGATTCCAACCCTGGTGTTAAGACGGAAGCCTTCCATGGTTCGTACACCTCTTGGCCTCTGCAGGAGGTCGTCTTCAGTCAAGTTGGCCACATCTTCGCGTTTCACGGTGTGAATTTGGTTCGCCTCGTTGCCCATGCTGTTGGTGAAGACTTCCATGATGGCAGGGATCAGTCCCGGGTGGGCTGCCCATGTCCCATCATGCCCAGCCTTCACTTCTCTCAATTTGTCCTTCCTTACCAATTCCAAGGCTGCCTCGTTTGCCACTGGGTCGTCCCGGATTGGAATCTGAGCGGCCTGTTCAAACAAGACAAGTTGGAGCTTCGTTCAATAAGAAAATTTAAGAGAATCCTCAGACGAAAACTAACCATTCCTCCCATGGCATGCACGCCACGCCTGTGACAGGTTCTGATGAGCAAATCAGAGTAACTTCTCATGAAGTGCTGAGTCATTCCCACTAGAACTCTATCAGGCAAAAGGCGATCTGGGTGAGCCTGGAAAGTCTTGACGTAGCTGAATATATAATCCCATCTACCACAGTTCAGACCAACAGAATGGTCTCTTAGCTCATACAGAATTTCATCCATTTGAAAAACGGCTGGAAGTGTTTCAATCAAAACAGTGGCTCTAATGCTTCCCCTCTCAATTCCAGCCAATTTTTCTGCCCTCTCAAATACATTGTTCCAAATTTTTGCTTCCCTGTTAAAAAAAAAACACTCATCAATTTACCGAGGACAAAGTTTTGGGCAAAAAGTGACGCTGCTTACTATTCAATTACAAATCTTTACCTCGAGTGTTCCATTTTCGGGAGATAGAAGAAAGGCCCGAAGCCTTCACCTTGTGTCTGGGGAAACGCCATGCAGTTGTGGAAAAAATAGAGACCGAAGTCCACTAGGCAACCGGCAGCTGGTTCACCATCAATGAAGATGTGAGACTCGGGTAGGTGCCAGCCTCTTGGACGAACAAAAAGCTTAGCCGTCTGATCATTAAGCTTGTAAACCCGATTTCTAGCTTTGTCATGGAAGCTTATAGTCCTATTAACAGCATCCTTTAAGTTAACTTGTCCGCGCATTAGGTTCTCCCAGCTTGGTGAGAGAGCATCCTCAAAATCAGCCTATGGAAAATTTTAATTGCAAATATGATTCCATGACTTTATAACAATTGATTATTGTGATAAGTGAAATTTAAAGCTAAGCCAAATATACATTAAACAACAAATTTTGTATTCTACTCACCATGAAAACTTTGGCTCCAGAATTGAGTGCATTGATGATCATCTTCCTCTCCACAGGCCCTGTAATTTCCACCCTGCGATCAGCAATCGCCGGCGGCACGGTGGCACAAACCCAGTCTCCTTCCCTTATGTATTTCGTGGCCGGATCAAACCCCGGTAAACCCCCGTTATTGTATCTAATTTTAGCCTCCTTTCTGCATTCCAAAGCGTACTTAATATAGTTCCTGAACTCCCTCTGCAAATCAGCCACAAATTGCAGAGCATCCTTGGTCAAAATTTTTGCAAATTCTGCATCATATTTGCCCCTAATGTCCACTCCCTCAGGCACATCATATGCCATGCCAGTTTTTCTCTCTGTAGAAGAAGGTTCAAGAAAGGTTTCAAACCCCACCATTTTGTTGAGATTATTGTTCTTTATCGAAGAAATTTGGAGTATGGATTTATGAAAAGGTAGATAAAATACTTGAAGAATGAGGAAATATATAAAGGGGTTAGGTTGGGTGGGATGAATGGTGGTGTGGGGAGTGGATAGCTACAGAAAGTTTTATCGTTATGGTGGAAGAATAGAGAATGCATGGAATTATGTGCGTGGGATGATGATGCATGGGATTGAATTGTGGATTGGTTTTGAATATTGTACCTACCTCGGGAGGTGCAGTTTGTTAGGATAGTGAAGCTTTGATGTCATATGCCACGTTTGGCTAAGCTTAAAATTTTAAATTATAAAAAAGGAAATTGTCCTATTCCACTTCGATTATATTCAACCTTCATATTAGGACTAGTTGGTTCATTATTTTGTATTATAATTGCAAAAAAAAAAATAAAAAAAATTGTTCATTATCACGTGACTCCCATAAAAATGAGTCTCACTTCAAATTTTCAACTCTAGTGCAAATTATGTATGAAATTCAAGTGATTATTTATAGAAGATTTACATCGTTTTCGTTATTGGAGAAAGATTTCAAATGTAATGAAATGGTTTTGACCGATTTACTACTTTTCGAAACTTAACGACTAACTTGCTATACGAACAATAAATTTAAGTAGATAGGCAATAATATTTATCTCTTTACTAACTAATGTCGCATCTTTCTTCAAACACGCCAAAAATAAAAGGAACTAATTTGAATTTCTTTGTGGATCAATGGGTATCGAGTAGTGCAAGATGTGAGTCCTTTCTATGTAAAGATAAATTTGGAGTCGGATTACTCGATTCTAATTTGATTTGTCACTGTAATATATCATGAATTGATTTGTCTAGCTGGGCCGAGTTAAATTAACATTTAACACTTAGGCTATGTTTGATTCACCATTATTTTTCATAAAAAATGGAAAATGAACTCCAACTTCCACTTTTTGAGTGTTTGATAGTCTTTTTTCCAGGCAATTTGTTTTTTAGGTTGTGGCTCTCACGTGCCACTTTCCATGATTTATGGGAAAACCAATTCCCACCATCCATTTTTTTTTTAGACAATTAGAAAAAATTCTAGATACAATGGTAAAAAAATAATTTCTTTTTTATTGACAATTTCCATACAAAATAAAGTCAAACGAATGATATTCGGTATGGTAATTTTTTTTTTTTGACAATTGGAACAAATTCTTGACCCAATTGTAGAAAAAAATTATCACTTTAATGGACAATTTTCATAAAAAATGAAGGCAAAGAGACACCAAACTTTCAACATTTTTCAGATGGAAAATTATACCAATCAAACACAATTAATTACAATTTCCAGTAAAACAATTTCTAAGCAATTCAATTCCTTGTAAAACATTTTCTTTCTACATTTGCAATCAAACGGACCTTTAGATCATGCTTTCCTTCTTAATGTATCAAAATAATTGTTGGGCCAGCTGTCCCATTCAAGCTCGATGTGGACGGTGCAAGCGGACCATTAATGGGGCCTTGCATCTTTCTACCCTTTCAAGTTGAAAAATCAGGTGAACTAAAAAGTATTGTAACTTAAAACAAAAGTGGGGAAGAAATTATTTTCCCTCTAATGTAGCTTAATTTGTGACTATTGAAAAACACATTGGCAAAATACAGATCTCCAATAAACATAAGTAAAATGAGTTTACCTAAAAAGAAGCTTTGTGCTGTGCTTATTTCCACAGCATCTTGGACAGCAGGTGGAGGTCCATCAAATTCCAAGGCCTAACAACAATTTTTATCTGTCAAGAAACCGTACATTAACCGGAATTTTAAAAAGAATCCAATATGGTTATGGAAACATCAACTGAACTTGCAAATGTGAAAGCAAAATACGAGGCCGGCGCACCTATGCACAAGTACAAGAGGGCCATTTTACTAAATAAAGTTGGATTACCATTACTTTATTAACATGTATACAGATCAGTCTTACATAAAAGCCAGTCTGAAGATGTTAAATAAGAACACATATTGGAACACTGTAATACGTTGGATATCAATATTGATCACACTATTTTAGCAGCCCCCATTCAAAAACAGGGGGCTGGGGTGGGTGCATTGTGTCATCTCGTTGCGATAGTGATAGTCTTCCCGAGGACGAAGAAAACTAGTGACAGCTCGATGAAGAAAATCGTAGTAATGTGCATACGGTCAATCATCCATCCAAAGATAGTGAATCCACCACTACTCGCCTGCACATAGGTAACTGCAAACCAAGAAAATTTGAGTAAGCCTCTTAAAGAATGTGTTAATTGTGTATTGTAAAGTCGAGATAATTAAAAAATTTAAGGAAAACAAATGCAACAAAAATCAGTTAGGACTAAAGCACTTGTGCCCTTGAACCAAGATATGTCAAAATTGAAACCTCTGAAACAAAATCAGATACTGTAAAGTTGGTGCTTAACAATTTGGCCCATATTGAGGCAGCCCAATTACCTTACCCGTGTGTGGGCCCTATGATGCACCCTTAACTATTGAGAGAAGCCCAGCCCATTAGAATGCAACCTGGCAGCCCAATTCATCACTTATCTCAAAGGTTGAGATTGTGACACGTGGATGAAGCTGGGGCCGTTGGATGCTTCTGACTGTTGATATTATTTTGGCTTGACTCTTTATTCATCTCATGCATTCAAGATCATTCTAGGGTTTTCTCTTTTTGGCTCTCTCGTTTCTCTCCCTCTGAAAACCTGTAATCTTCGATCTAGGTGTTCTTGGTGAGATCTAGTGTTTGATTAAGGCTTATTTCTGGTTTTCTGTTCTTCTGTGGGCAGTAACCTCTAAACCTTTGGTTACTCTGTGTAATCGCATTTCTGAGTGGTTTGTGAGAGATACTTGGGTCTGAGGGCTGATCCTTTGTGGATCTGTTGTATTGTAACTTTGATCTTGATAATATTGTTGGTTTCTAGTGGATTTGAGCGTTAATCACTTCGATGAATGCTCAACGGGTGACTAACCCTAATTTGGGTGAACATCCGGGCCTTAGGGCAAAATATCCTTTGTGTTCATTTCTATTTTCTGTATTACTTTGTGTTTTGGGGCCTGTATAATTCCTACAGTTACCAATTCTAGGACCGTCGAGGTTTAAGAAGAAGTCAGACAAGACATGCATATGCTCACTTCGAGATCATATCGAGTTAGTTAGAACTACAAATATTGATTATAGTTGCTCTAGACTGGAAACAAGTTCTAGTGAAGAAAATAAAATACAATAACGATAATTGAGTAACAAATAGGTATACGCACCAAAGGCTTGTCTCTTCTGATATGATGACATGGAAGCTGTCAATTGTAAAGTCATGGACGATTGCGTGCAATCACCGGACTCTAAATCACTTTCTGAATAATGTATTGATAATGGACGCACGGGATATGGAACATCAGCATCTGAAACAGCTGAGAAGGAACCATCATTTGAATTGCAGCTAATCAATGCATGCCATCTACTAGCAATTGAACCCAGGCTTTGAGCTCTATGAGAAATCTTTGCAGCTGCATTTAGACAGAGCACAATCCCCACAAGCTGAACTATAGATAACACCTGCATATAGAGTAAATAGCATTTAAAGTTCTTATATGATAGATCAGAGATTTGACAGACTGAAGTTCATCCATATTATTGTTGAAAATCTTGCGGATTGCTACATTTCTATCTACTCTGGATAATTTTTCATAGCCACGTGGGCTAAGAAGCTTGAAAAAATCGAACAATTTCTCACCTTAAACCATAGAAAAACAGTTGGTAAGTAAATACATTTGTCGACTCTCTAACAGCTTAAAGCCTTTACACGAGGTAGTTCAACATGGTACAAGATTAAGCAAAAGTCCTAAGTTCAATTCTAGATGTCACTCATTTATGAATATTGTGTGCAACTATTAGGCATTTGAAGGAAAAAAGAAATTTTCTTGTGTGTGAGGGGGCATGTTTAAGACATAATTTAGATAAATAAATCCATCCCCTCTCCATCAATTTATGTTTATAGATGAAGTGATTCAACAAATATAAAATCCAGCAAGTAAACTAGTTTTTTCTGCTCCTTCCACTATTCCACGTAATATTTTAGAGGGAGGAAAATGTATAACAATACTCTGTATTAACATTCTATCTGAGGAGGAAACCAGAGACGTACTGCAAAATCACCTCCATTGATGAAATTTATGATCCCATGGTTCCCTAATGTCTGCAATAGAGCCATAAACAGACTAACTGTGACAACCAAGAATTCTAGAAGAAGAAATACCCGAAACCTGTGGCTTATTTTGGACAAATAAGAGGTTAAACGCATGTGCTCTTCGATGTAAACTGAAACACCCAAATCCCTTTCCAGTAGTTTCCCATAATTTTCGAAGTGAATCACTAGCAAATTGCCCACCAAGTGGAACAGGGCACAACCAGCTAAGAAGACTAGAGTCACATATGTATATGATACAATGCAAGCAAGCAACTTCAAAGCAGAGCACCACCAAGAATCATGGTGTAAATATACCGCACGAGTAATCTCACGGGCCACCTTTAATATAAGGCAAATAATGACCCACGAAGTCAGTAAGCGGTAAAAGACCTGAAAAACAATCAGGAAAGTTAGATAAACTTTGGTCATGGTTTATAAAGCTAAACATGAGCAAATTTTCCAGCAAGGGATTGCCCAAACACATGAAAAGAAAAATTACTCAACACCTCAAAATTGTACAGGTAACAAGACACAGCTAGCATTATCACGGGAAAAATCACTTGATGTTGTTTATATGTGTACCATTCAGTAGATTTAAAACTCAAAGTTGAACTTCTGATTTAGTTTTGCAGCCTGTTATTGTAGAAAAATATACTCAGATACACGAGAAAGAAAAAATCTTTGATTATTATTAAGTGAAAGGAATTTTGGCAAAATGATGCAATACCCATTGGGCCGAAAGTGTTGGCCCAGCTGGAAATTGAAGGCCCAGCTACTAAAATCTGTTATGTTTACTTGGTGCAAGAAACGTGTTATGGAAATGCTAGAAACCGTGTTTTACTTACCTGATTTTGAACTCCTCAGATGTCGCCATGTGTCGCCTTAAATACCGTTGGATGGTGACTATTAGGTTCCTCTTCTAAAAGGGCTTCTAGGGATTGAGTGTTGGATGGTTTTTGGCTTCGAGACTTTTCATTCTCTCGTGTCCTCTGCGCCGTTTCTAGAGAGTTCTCTCTTTCTTCATTAGAAATCAAAAATACTCCTTTGATTTCTGATTTTCTTCACTCATTATTGTAATCTTGTGTGATTTCATTGAGTTGAGTGATGGTTCTTGTGTGAACTATGTTGTATTGTAAAATAGAGATCTCGTTTGAGTGATTTAAAGGGCTGTCTAAGTGTCATCCTTTTGTAATCTTGCTTTAGTGATTTCATTGAGTTGAGTGTTGGCTCTTGTGTGAACCGTGTTGTGTTGTAAATGCGAGATCTCGCTTGTGTGATTTAAAGGGCTGTCTGAGCGTCATCCTTTTGTAATCTTACTTTGAGATTTGATTTGTATTCGAATGGTGGTTTATTATTTGAGATTGAAGCACTGAACATTTGAGATATGGCCTGAGGGCTTTACTGAATAAAGATACGTTTATTGTAGTTTTTCTTTGTGTTCTTTTTCAGTTCGTTCATTTTGTTTTCTGTTTTAGTATATATATTTTGTTGATCTTGAGCTAACCTTTGTGAATCTCCTCCTTACATTAAGTTAGGGAGAGAAAAGGGGAAAAAGAAAAGAAACAAAGAGAAGATAGGAAAATCCATTTAAAGAAAACCAATATGATCGGCATCTGATTCCCCATCTGTACATCTCTCGGCAGTAGTCTTTAATCTTTATGTCTTGAAAAAGCAAGAAACATAAAGTATGCTTCAAACACGAAAGTAAACGAATCCTTCAAAGAGAATCTGATACGAGAACCAGAACTATGAATAAGAAAATGATAGTTCCATCATCTACCAGAGCTGAATTTTAGTATCTTTAAAATATTTATGCATTGAAAAAGCAAGAAACGTAAAGTATGATTTCAAACACGAAAGTAAACGAATCCTTCAAGGAGAATCTGATACAAGAACCAGAACTATGAATAAGAAAATGGTAGTTCCATCATCTGCCAGAGCTAAATTTCAGTAACAACTCCTGATGCAAGGCTTCACTAGTCACTAAAACCCTTAAGCTATTAGCATGCAAAATAATAGATGAAATAAGCATACTTCAAATAAATGCACTCATAAACAGTACTTCATCCATCCCAATGTTTTGGAGCAACATATTCTATAAATTAATTAAAATTTTCTGCTATAAAACTTTGTAACTCCAGTAAATTGCATGAAAATTAATTTAAATAAAACCAATAAAAAGCAAACTTCAATAATTACTTTAAAACAAAACAAAATTCAGTTATCAAGATATCGCTTAAGTTGAGTAGATGTACGATAAAACTGAATCTTACGCGAATTTTCTGAAGGTAAAGATGACGAAACTTGGCCAAATGTCCATGGCAATGATCAACAAACAGCAACTTCCGCACGCCATACTTTCGGAGAATATACGAAATGGAGAGGAAAGATATAGCAGCAACGACTGTTTGCGACGCAAGAATTTCGAGCTCGAAACTCTTTATCTCGTACTTCTCGCAGTTGGAACAGTACGAAAATTGGATCGAAAGAAGGGGCAAAGCGAAGACGAGTAGAACGAAGACGAGCCACGACAAGGCGGTACCGATGACAGTGCACTGGCGGAAGCCGATGAGTCCGAGGAAGTTTTCGAGAGTTTTCAAGGATTTGTCTAGCTCTGGATCGGACTCGATCGGATGGGGCTCTATCAATGGGACTTGAGTTGATGGAGCCATGCCGAAACTCGTTCGTCAGTTGCTGTTATTTAAGGAAAAGTAGAGAGAGAAGTGAGAGTGAGAGAGAGTGTGTGTGTGTGAGAGAGAGTGTGTGAGATGAGAGAGAGAACCCGGGATTGGACCGACCATATTGAAATTGTAGAACGAGAAAAACAAAAGTCGAAGCTAGCGTAGAAATCATCCATTCTAATCCACTTTTTTTCAACCAACTTGAATCACTTTTTAGACTTGAAAGGCGAGAAGGGTTGCAGATTTTACGTAGTTTTCTTCTTGAAAGTCGAGATAAAGGTATTGTATCGACGATCACTAAGATTTCAATGGACATGTAATTGAGTCATTCGTCTTTAATTTCGAACAATCAAGTTAACTAACTTTAATTTACGTGCAACCTTGATCACTTCGTCTATCGCTATCAGTTTGATTAACTTGGCCCATATTATTCCTCATTAAATTATAATCCGTTTTTCTATTTTGTCTTATCAATAATATTACATGTAAATCACAAAAAAAAAAAAAAAAATTCTTCTTTTTTAATCACATATTCTCTAAAAAATTATTATTCATTTTATTATAATCTGAAATAATGGGGCTAAATTGGGTTAAATGCATTGTGAATTACTATTCCTTGAACTCAATTTTTTTATAAGGCAAAAATAAAGAAAAAAATGTCCATATTTGACACTAGGGTTGTCAATGATTTGGATTTTGATCTGAATTTGATAAAATGAATGAGAAATGAATTTAGGGTCTCAATCCAATAATTCAATCTAAATCCAAATTCGTAATTCATTAACTAAGTGAATCAAATATTGATATAGGTCAGTTCGATTCGATAACAACTTGATCCAATTTGTAATAATAATACAATATATTTTATATATTATCACATAATTTATTACATGTAATTTTTTTAAAAATTTGAAACTTGTATTATACTTTATGACTTTTAATGAAGAATGTCAAACTTATCAAATTTCAATATAAAATTAATATATATTATAATAAACTTTGTATTGAGATTTGGAATACTTTATTTTCAATAACGAAAGAATGTCTATAAATTAAAACTATCGTGCTATATGTACATTTTTGTGTACATCTAGTCGTATACTTCACCCCATGTGACATAATCTAGACATGAAAGAGAAAGATTATTAGGGAAATCAAAGGGGATTATGATGTCGTGTGACAGAGTGTAAGGGAAGCATGATTGAAATTAAAATTGGATGACCTGATTACTTAACACTTGTGATCTAATTGTTCATTCTTCGAAAGTTCAGTAACTCACGATGCATTTAACCCAAATATTCATTCTCCACTATAAAGATTGAGTCCCTATGTCACGGACCGCAGCTTTACTCAAGCTCCCTAACCCAATTGTAGTCGTCGTTTGCCCAATTTAGGCCGCACATTGTAAATATTTTAATTCAATTGTAAAATAGATGTGATATTAGAAAAGTTTAGCATGATTCCTCGGAATTTAAATGTCTGCTCCTATCACTTATGTTTTTGTTCAGAATGTCATTATAGGGGATATTAGTTTTTCAAACATTTTTTCAAACTTTATAGTGTTCGCCCCCTGTACTAGCCATTGTAATTTCCTACTTTCATCAATTGTAATTTTTAGCTTTCAAACAATCAATAATCAATTTAGTTTCAATGCATTTCAATTTCATATTGCAAGTTTTCTACACATTGTAATCAAATTGTCTTTCATCCCGAAACGACCGAGAGAAGGCGGAAGGTAGTCTAGCGGAGTGTCCCTTTATGTGTCAATAAGAAAGGCACCCCGTGAAAACCTGCGTGGTACACATTCATTCAAAATACATTCATTCAAAACTTATTTTCAATCACACATTCTTCAATAAAATTATATTTTCAAGCACATCAATAATTTTTCCTTACTTTTTAACCATATACTTCTCATCATATCACTATTTAAAATATATTATTTTCTCAATAATATCTATCAAACACACCCTGATTACGAGTTTGGAGAAACTATATGAAATGTTGTCTTAGTTCTTTCTCGCTAAAAAAATTGATTAAGAATTCCGAGAAAAAACTTTATGAAATTTTATTTTCACGAGATTATCGAAAGGAGTTATATTTAGAAGAATGAACAGAACATTATTTTGCAATTGTTTCTTCAAAATAAGTTTTTAAGTATCGTAACATTAAATAATTACTTTCTTCCAAATGAAAAAAATATAGCAAATACGGTACAGGCGTTTCACAAAAATTAGGAATGAGGTTAACTTCAATTTGAGAACGGAGAAAAAACTAGAAGCTCATAATATCTACGAAAATTGATTATAAAATTTTATGCATTTGGCTAATTATTATTTATATTTTTGTTGGCCCTTGAATGATTTTAAATAAAATTACTACTTTTTCGCATTTAACGAGATTATTATTTTAGTACATTGACTCGAGTCGGGATCGATAAATTCCAAATTATCGAGGTTTTACTGTATTTTAAATCAATTTTGTAACTTATCTATCAGCATTGAAGTTATGTTTAGTCCCATATGACCCCAATTTTTTAAAACTCATTTTCAACGATACATTATTTGAATTCACAAGNTGGGATAGCTTAAAATCCAATTAAAATTGAAAATATAGCCGTTATTGGGTCTCACTCGTCTAATAAAAGTCAACAATAACGGCTAGTTTTTCAATTTTAATCCGATTTTAATCTCTACTAAACACACTCTCAAATATACTTCCTCGTGTTTGTAGAAGGGTGGAAGGCTTTTATCAAAGTTGGTAGTTGTCTTCCAACCATAATTTCACCGCCCTTAGCCCGTGTTTGATTTAGATATAAATAAGATTTTACGTATATTTCAATAATATTTGATGAAATGCGTGATTGAAAAATAGTGAATCTCATAAAATATGTTGTTAAAATTAAGTATTGATTTTGAATTTACTTTTTTAATGAAACCAAACAGGGCTTAATAAGGTGTCTTGGATTTTCAGCTCCACAGCCTCCTTGGGTGTAAAAGTTACACTTCGTGTAAGTATAAATTGAATTGTGACGACTTCTATCAGTGTTTAATATAAAGCTCGCATTTTTAGTCTCGAATGCTTTGCCTCATCTATTGTACTCTAACCTTAAGAGAAGACTTTATACCTCGATATAAATATCAAACAAATTTATAATTTGATAGAAAATTGTTACTTTTAATTAGAATGCAAACCACTCATGAAGATTAATACTTAGAATGAAATTACACCACTTACTGAAATTGTTCTTCAAATATCAATTTTTATTTTTTCAAAAATACTGTTTTTGAAAAGTAGAAATCATAGAAACACAGATTACTCATTTCACATGGGCTTCTTGAAGCCCATTACAGTATAGGCCCATGCAATCGCTAGCATACCCGCTGCAGCTCTCTCACTTTCCAGACTCCAGACGGCGGCGACACAAGAGTTTTAAACACACATATTTACAGAATCTTGTAGTTAATACAAGGATAATATGCCGCGTACAACGACGGTGGAGAGTCCCGGTTGCCCTCCATTGAGAGCACTCACCACCGACGTTCTCGGCCTTGTCAAGGGTAAGTATTGAAACAATTGTTTATGCTTACAATCAGAAATATGTTTAGTAGTTTAGAGAAGTTTAATTGAACTCAATGAGGTTTTTTTTTGTCCTGATAATTTTTGGGCGTTTTTAATAGTTATTGAGACACGGGGAGAGCAAAGTGGAGCTTCTGCGAAGGTAGTGGAGAGATGGGGTGACCCGGATTCCTCCAAAAGCGTGCTTGCTGCTTCGATTCTGGACCGAAAGAAAGACCCTGTAAGTTTAATTTGCAATATTTTTAAATGGTGGTTGTTGTTTTAGTAAGTGAAATTGATTTTTAGTAATTGTGATAAAGTTGTAGCATTGAATCAAAGATTACAGCTGATTCTTTATCAAGTGTTTTTTTTGTTAACATTTACTTTTATTGGCTTTTTAGTTCGACTTTTATCTCCAAGGTAGAGAAATACTGCAAGTACAGTTTATTTGTAATTTTTTTGTACTTAACTATATATACACCTTTTGCAAACTTCAATTCTTCTGTTGTATTTTGGTACAATCAAAGAAAGACATCTGAATGATTGAAAATACTTATAAATTGAGGAGCCATGATGTTAATGACACGAAATCTCTTAACTTTTGATTGAAAGAATAAAACCTCTTTAGGATTCTTGTGTGTTGGAAATTAGAGGAGCTTTATAATTTCACTGTGATCAGATATCAAGGAGTACTTAACCAAGATAGTGTCTGAATGTTGTAGTTTTATGTGGTTAGTATGGAGCACATCATTGACGGAGTCCAACTCCCACTGATTGGATTAGCGTGCAATGGAAAAATTCGAAAGTGGAAATTATGAAATTTTAAGGTTTAACAGAGAAATGGTTTGGACACACCCATGTATGTTGATCTCCTCTCCTTATATACTAACTAGAAAATCGAATCTGTAAGAATTTAAAATTTTGGCTCTGGAGTTACTGCAGGGTGCATTTGAAAAATTACTTGTGCGCAATTTGATGATCGATCACATTACTTTACGACATAAAGAAATAAATTATTAAAAAGTTCGATTTGAACATTTATTTTCAAGATTATACGCTACCTAATGGAAGAAAGAAACCAATATATTGAAGAGGTACTACCACCTTCGAAGATAGACCTTTTTTCTTGTCTAGAAATATGGATTTTAGTACCTAAGGCCATGAATCCACATATTTTAATATTAATATTGAAGTCGTAATACAAGATCTGAGATGTGAGAGTTGAAATATTTCTTAATCTTGCACATGCTATCTGCTCACAGACTGCAGACAACTTCAAATTCTTATATTTGAATTTTGTCATGTTTCTAAGTTGCATTAAATCGTAAAGCCTAGTTGAGTGTGGTCTCTATGTCTTCTGCTTCTGTTCAAACAGTTTCTGCAATTTCTCTCAGTCAAGGTAATCTGATGTTTTGTTTCTTATATTTTAACTTGTGCAGCTGCTGGGTGTTGCACGAAAAAGTGGCTTGGTAAGTAATTCTCTTGTAAAAATCTAGTGCATATGTTGAGCTTCATGTGTTCTTGCTTGAGTTTAAGCCTTCTCAGACATCTTTGGATTGTAAATTTGGTTGATAGATAGAGGTGATTAGTGTTATAAATGGGGATCTTCGTCTTTCCATTCCTAATGTCTGTCAAGATGGAACTAGACCTGAGGATGATTCCATCGTCGGATTGCATTTGTTCAAAAAGCAGAGATCAGAGTCATCAACAAGGTATCATAACTTGCTTTTCTAGTTATATACAGTAAACGTGTCTCATTTTCTCTTTATATTTGTGAAATTCCGTTGATCGATTCTTACTATAGAAGGGGCTAAAGACTAAAGTTCTAGCAAATTTCAGGATATAAATCTATCCATGATTCAGCATCTTGTTCTAATCATTAAGAGAACTTATAGAGACATTAAGAGAGTTGTTCACTGACTGGTAAATGTACTTTTGATACACATTAGTTGGATTGTATTGTGCTTAATGTTTCCTTGCCATTTAAAAGGCATTTCACTTTGAAATTCTCTTTAAATACAGCTGGCTTGTTTTTAGTATTGCTGCAGTTGCACGTTGTCGGTTCTGTCCTTTTACCTCTTTTTTTTTTTTTTGGTTATTCATGCAGAATTTTTTGTGCATCCATGCCCTTTAAAGTAAGTTATATTTGGTGGACAAAATGATACTACCAGCATAGTTTAATAGTAGTGCTGCATGCTGTTGTTCTTCGTGCCCTACATTTTGCTTAATCGATTGTCTACTTCGTGCTTTTGGACTTTATCTATGCTATTTGTCTTTTCAGGACTCATTTACAGGAATTATTTTGTGTTGGTTTTGTGTGAACTTGGGAATAGGAGCTGTTTGTCTATATGGATCCTGTGTGAGTCCACTTTAATGAAAATACTGATATCTTCAATGTGAAAGATTAAAGTCCTATGATGTTATTTTGAAAGACAATTAGGCGTATTGAAAAATTTTAAGTTTCCCTAGCCGGCGTGCCCTACTTTTTAAAAATATTTTCAAATAGCTCCTAGAGTTAAGGGAAGCATCTTTTCTTTTCTCCAAATTTTGGATTACACAAATAACTCTAGGTATTTGATATATATAATTTTTTATTCTACCTAGTGTATGTACTATATCTTGTTTATCTTTTCTTCTTAAGATCCAAATTTTATCTTTTATCTAGAACTTTCAGTGTGTTTGCAGCCTATACCTTGTTTATCTTCTCTTCTTAAGATCCAATTTTGTCTTTTATTTAGATCTTTCAATGTGTTTGCAGTTCGCTTGTAAAATCTTGAAATGACCTTTTGTTAAAAAATAGAATTAGAAATAACAAATAAGCACATCTATGATTTCATTAAGATATGGTCTATTAATGATAAGTTGTGAAAGAATAGATGTAGATGGTTGTGGTTTGGATACTTGGAATGAAGTAATATAGAAGGATTGAGCCTAAGGTTTTGTTGTGTCGCGCTTGGTGATTTGAAAATTTAAATGCAAAAATATAATAATTTCAATAAAAGAAAATTGGCAATGTAGAGCATTAAATGTTTAAATCCAAAAAATAATATAACCTGATGTTTGCAAAAAATTGATTGTTTTCATTTTATAGATTCCATTAGCTGCCTACATACTACGATATTCACAAACATTGGTAGATATGGTTATTTTCTTTTAAGATTTTCAATAGATTAAAAAATAATTGCAGTATAAAAAGATGAAAAAACTCGAAGCCAAATGAATGATTGAAATTCAATTGAGAAAAATAATTAATGCAACTGAATACAATAGGACAATTTTGAAAAGAAGCTTTAACTAATTTGAACTTATTTGGAGATATTCCTCTGAACTGGGGCTTCATTGAGATTAAAAGTTTTAGTAGCATAAGGATGCTAGGAATTATCCGTAATTTTCTCTTTTCTAAAACATTTTCTTGTATACATCTCTGGTAATTCTGTGTTATGTCGAGTGTTTAAAATGATTTTAAATTCAATCTAATTAAATTTTACTGAAGCTACATGCTTTAAAGTACTTTATGGGTAACTGTTTAATGCAAGAGTTGAACATATTCCCATACGTTTGTCCAACTAGTGACATAAGTTCTATGTCCTCTCCTATGTATCAGAGAATTTGGAAGTAATGACATGATTTGGAGGTGGGCTGGGTGATTAACTTTATAAATCTTCATTGTTCTACTTGTGTCTGGTAAAAAGTTAGTTATGTAGCCTGTGTACATGTTTGGCAAGCGTTCCTATGCACCGCCATTTCTGGACTTAGTATGGCTTCGAATGCCCCCTGTATCATGGACCCAGTTTTCCTTATTTTGCTACTTTTCATGCTACATTTACATATCTTTCTAGTCCTTATTTTGTTACATTGTGGAAGATGTTGATTCTGTAGCACTTGCTACTGTCTTAATTTAGGTCATGCACATTGCTTACATGCACTACAAAAGGATCTGTAAGAATAGAATCTTTTGAGGACATCAAATCTCCAGCAGATTCTATCCGTGATCCTTCTCCAACAACGTGGAATGCATGTAGATCGGGTAGTATATTGTGTTCGAAAATGGAAGAACATGAAAACTACGCTTTGTTTGGAGGGTGAGTTTCTATAAGTATTCAATTTTAGAGTAGAGGTTAATGGTTATTTATCATGCTCCAGGGGATTGTGACTCCTGTTTTCATACTCAGGAAGGGTGTTGAAGTCAATGTATGGGATCTTCAGAAGTGCACTAAAATCTGGACCGCAAAATCTGTAAGTACCAAATTTTTTCATTCTTGTTCATTCTTTTGGTTTGAAAGATTATTATCTCAAGCATTTGGTTTGCTAAATCTATCTTGTGCAGCCCCCTAAAAACAGCCTTGATATATTTACCCCAACGTGCTTTACATCTGCAACATTCTTAAGTAAAGATGATCATCGTAAGTTTGTGGCAGGCACCTACTGTCATCAGGTACTGTACAGTGAGTTTGCCTTTAATATCTTATACATTTAGTTACTCTCAGGGAAGCAGTTTTTATAGTGAGAAAAATAATCACTTTCTCCAGTGCAAATTCATTATGCTACAACCTCTGTCTTCCAGTGGGGTTGTGTGGTGAAATTTCTAAAGCATTTAGCAGGCAACTATACCTGAGGCATGCATGACTAAAGGTTGTTAGAATTCTGCAGAAAAATATGTTAATTTCGCTAACACTTTTTTTATTTTTTTTTCATTTTAAAATTCATCTTTTTAAACTCAAAAAATAAAATAATAAAAACACAAATATAATTCTTTTTCAAATAATTTATTTACCGTCTACGTTTCTTCTACCAAAATTCCAAATTTTGAAAGAAAAGAAAGCAAGAAGTGTTTGTTGTAAATTCCAAATTTAGATTTTATTATTGCTTTTCATTTTTAGTGTAATTGTTTGTTGGTAACTATCGGATATATACGATGATTTTGGAAAAATCAACCCATTACCATTACCATTTACATTATATATTATTTATATGCACTACGCAAGCAAAAAAATATGTATGTATGAAAAGGCAAATTTTTTAACCCAAAATAGATAGACAATTATTTTTAACTCGTACCAATGTCCAAACCGATTAACCAAACCAAATCGATTGGTTTGGTTCAGTTTCAACGGCCGAATTGGGTTGGAATTTACCCAAATCGGTTTCGGTTTCGGGTTGGACTCAAAACCAACCTAAACCATGCCCGGACCTACTTTAAAGTATAAACAGAGAAGCCCAAGTCATTGAATGAGTGTGTGAGTTGAAAATAGTAAAGTTGTCTTTAATGAGGCTATATTGGCATTTTGCGTGGAGGATGGTTAATGCTTGTAAAATTTTATTTGTTTATCAAGGTTTTTGCTCCTGTAGAGAATGGCAAAGATGAGTTGATATTACTTGTATGAATTTCGTAGGTTCGTCTTTATGATATTTCTGCTCAGAGAAGACCTGTTATGTCATTTGATTTCCGAGAGACCCCTATTAAGGCTGTTGCGGAGGATCTTGATGGACATACAGTATATATAGGAAATGGCTCAGGTGACCTTGCTTCTGTAGACATACGCACAGGTATGCTTCAAACCTTTTACATCTGTAGTTGATAGTTACTTTGATACACTCATTCTCCTTTTTTCCTTTTGGCTTCACTGATTTTTAAAGTTTTACCTTCCCTTTTTCAATTTTTTTTTTTGGCTGTTTTTTGGTTTGTTTCAAATGCATAATGATGCTTCCTAGGCAAGATTTTTGGGACTATGATGTGTGAATTTGTATACAAGTACTTCTCAGTCTCTAATTCGTATCATCATCCCCACCTTCCCGCTGTCAAGTTCTTCCATGCTTCATGTTTTATACAAATTCCTTTGCATTGATTCAATTGCTTGTGCGCAGTTGTGACTGGCAATATATTAACCTCATATACCTTAAAAATGTTAGTCATTGACCAGTTTGAACCATCCTCTTTTGGTTCTTGAGGGGTGGGTATCACTCCAATTTAATTCATTTCGTAAGCTAGCATGCTTTATTGGAGACACATTTTTAGTTCTTTGTATATTATTTGAATATTGTAGGGAAACTGTTGGGATGCTTCATCGGAAAATGCTCTGGAAGTATTAGATCCATAGCCAGGCACCCAGAACTTCCCATAATTGCCTCATGTGGTGAGTATATCAAACGAAGGCAGCCTCATTTTTATTATTGTTTTCCACTTGTTTGGGTCCTTTAATCCTGTTCTAGAATAGTAACCTAAAATGCTAAATCTTGGTTCTTAATGTCGTCTGTTTCTTCTTAAATTTGTTTGAAAACATAGTCTAAGGATCAGCTGCCTATGTTATTTCATCCTTCTAAAGGATCTGTGGCCTATGTTATTTCATCCTTCTAAAGGATCAGTGGTTCAGTGCTCAACAAAATAATTTATATCTTTGTCGCTTCGATTATGTTCAGATTTTCTCTAAAGTTTCTCATGAAAGTTAGAATTTTGAGCTGGAAGTGACTTGGTTTTACTACAGGGTTGGACAGTTACTTGCGCATTTGGGACATTCATTCAAGGGAACTTCTGTCTGCGGTATGTTTTCCATCTTGCCTATCATTACTGGTAACTAAGATATGCAAGAGAATTTATAATCCTGTCCCAGGCTCCTCTAGGCAAAATTTTATAGTCAAGTAATTACGGTACATCACGATTACATTTGGTTCTCAGTATTGATGCTATGAATTTGATGTTTACTTAAATCAATATCTAAAGGTAAAATTATATTATAGGCTCAAAGAGAATTTATTAAAGAAAGTTTTTTGTTGACCATTTCACTTCTAGAAAATAATAATCTCAATATGTGCAACACTTTGTTAGTCACCAAAATATGTATATACACAAAACTATGCTTGACCAGAAGCGCTCAAAATAAGAGAAGTTATATGATGAGATTTTGCTTGATAAAAAAAAAAGAAAGGGAAATGGGTTAGTCGTCGAGGATTGTCGTCGATAGAGTTTGGGGTGGGTGGAGCATAGTATTAAAAAATATATAATTGATATAGTCATCAAGGGATCAAAGTTTTTATAATAGTCAATAAAAAGAAGGGGCTAAAGACAAAAAACTCATGATGATGAATTTGTCAATATATCACTTGTCGAACTGTCTTGAACGTGTACCATTGTAAATATATTATGCAATTAATATTTCTGTTTTAAATGGATGCAGGTTTTCTTAAAGCAGCATCTCACCAATGTTGTTTTTGATTCTCACTTTTGTACTCGAGGTCTATCCTTCATTAATTTTAACACCGCATTTTACTTTTTTATTCCGACCATAGTTTTGGTAGCACGAGGGCTATATTAGCTATCCAAGCATCACTTGGTTATTGCCCCCGCAAAAATCTAGGTTCTCTGAAAATTTTGGCTCCTAGCTACTCAAGTACCACTCTGTCCTATTAAGATACTCTATCAATACTACTTAAAATGAAGAAATCACTGCGACCCCAAACTAAGTGTTCTAAGCTAACATTATGCAATGTCATGGTGCTTGTTCAGATGTTGCTGGTTCTGCTCCTGAGCCACAAGATGTGAAAAAGGTACCTTGCCAAGACGAAGATGAGGCTATGCCCACAAAAAGGAAAAAGACGTCTAAAGGGCACGGGGACAGTCGAAGCAAGAAACCGAAATCCAGGAAAACTAGCAAGGAGAATTAAAAGCCGAAGAATAATGTCATTTCATCACCTGGAGGCTGGACGTATGCCAGAATATCTTATTGGCAATAAGGTTTGCGAAACAAATATGCTTACGGTTGGTGTAGAAGTTGCTTAAAAGTGCTTCAGCTGGCTGCTTTATATATTTTTTAACTAGGAGGTTTCGAAAGAACACTATAACTGTTTTCAACAAAGGCGACCAAATGAAATGCCAAAATTTTGTAGCGATGTTCTTCGTTGACAACCTTATGCCTAAAAAGGCATTATCTTCAGCGTGAGAGAACCATTACACGGATACTCTTTCAAATGACAATGTTTACTTTGCACAGTTATTCTGTGCTCTGCTAATAGAGGATTGCCTACTAGTGGCCATGTTGCATATTAGAACAGCAGCCTACATTAATTGCACGAGGTCTCTCAAAACTGAGTGATGAATAGGCCATTGAAGGGCCAATGTAACAGCACACTTGTCAATTTTCATACCGTCCACTGAACCAACGACATTGAATTGAGAGAGTAGACGACAAACTTCTCATTAGGCTCAATACATAGTTTTTGATCCATGTTTCTTAGACAATCACACTATTTTATTATGTTCTAGTAATTGCTAATGACATATCAAGAAAGAAATCCGTATCCAAATTTTTTCAAGATATGAAATAAATCGAATTGCATGGAAATCCACAACCAAAAGCTCCTTATGAGAGATTTTTTCTAGGGTGAAGTGATTGTCCAAGAAGAAAGGCAATACCGATTCATTGAGACGAGGCCTCACCCTTCTTCTCTCCCCCCAAGTACCTACAAATATATGAGCATATAGATTAGTTGAATGATGTGTGAAGGCTCTTAAGCAAGACAAAAAAAGGACCGAACTTGTGAGGAATACATATATATAACACAGTTGATTCGAGGGCGACTAGGGTGTTATCACATAGGCCTGCCCTGGCCCACCTTAGGACGGACAAGATTGGGATTGCCCGCACAAAGTAAAGGGCTGGGTCATCCTGGGCCACTACACACCCAACCCCACCAGGCCCAATTGACAATACTATACGTACGAGCTGACAGACGGTCTCTTTCCACTATTCTCACTTTTCTTTCAACTGGATTGTATTGTTATTTTTATCTCTAGACTGAATGAATAAACAGTTATATTAACAAAGAAAGGATCTGTTCTACATTGTCATGAAAAATTTACTTGCTGCAAATGTCCAAACACGAGCATAGTTGGTCGAACATATTTGCAAGAGAAACACAACATTATGAAAGGAAGATACTACCAGTTGATAACACCAAACCCAGCACAGGCTACCACGTGAAGAAATAACGACTGTGACCCTTAAGTATATCACCATTTTCGTTTCCCATTAATATGAGGTTACAGGATAAAGCACAATAAAGGAAGAAACAAGGAAAAGACACACAGACACAGCTTATGTATTATATAACATCACAGATTACTTACCCTTGACCCTTGGCCCAACGTGAAAGTTGATAAAGTTGCACCGACTCATTTGAAGCATGGCAAGCAAGAAGTAAATAGTTGCGAGGCTGTACCATCCATGCAAACCTCATGAACAGCCCGGAATATATACACATTGCTGCATCACAAAAACGCAAAAGAGAAGTTAATAAGAATCTTAACTATTAATTGGAGTGTTCACTTTGCAAAAGCCAATATTTCAACCTCCAGTCATGTTGCCAGATATCATTTCTGGAGGTTTTTGCATGTCCACAAGCCCCTGTAGAACTAAATAACATCACTTTGGAACCATCAAGCAAATGAATATAAATTTGTCGTTTCAGGTGGAGAAGCATACAGCAATAACAAATCCCCAGTTAGCAACGGGACCCCAAAAATGAGTCGTTTTGGGACCAACTGGACTGTTTAAAAATGCTTTGAAGGAAGCCATGGAGTCTGCAACCTAAAAACCTTGCACGGTCATAATAGCAAAGTCAGACATTAATAGAAACATGTTAATTGACAATTACAAGTAACATGGACAGCTCCATAACAAATAAAATGAACTAAAAGTACTCATTAGAGTATATTTTATTTAATTGTAGAATTTGGCAGTTTTTGGTTAATATAGAGATATAGGAGCTAATATTGAAGCCTCTAAGAAGCTCCAGAGAGAAGAAACCATAGATGCAGCTCGAATATGTCAGATTACTTTTTCCTGAAGCTGAATCTCTCCCACAAATGACAAGAAACACCAAGCACGAGTGATTTTGATGAAAGCATATAATTGGAAGTTTAGAACTTCCAACAGATGACAAAGAAAAAGGATAAAATCCCACTTTGCATAAATAGTAAGGAAAATAAGCAAGCAACTAGTCTATATATATAATTCAGGGAAATGGTGCATGCCTGTCTTTGCATCGCTTAACAATTAACTATAGAACTAATGCACCAACTTATGAGATCAGTTCATCAAACCATAAGTTGTTTATCGTTTGCCCACTGTTTACTACTATGAAGACACCTTTTTATGCAGCACAATTGCAAAGTCAATGACCTGAAGAAAACATGCTTAGATATTGAAAATTGAATGAACCAACTCCAAATTCTGTTTTATCCTAAACAAATCCAATTTTTTGGAAACAGAATCGGAATCCAACATGTAAGTTCAGCAGTAATGTGACGTATGTCTAATTCTACTGTTGGATGGACCTTGCACTGTTTTGTTTAATAGAAGATAACAATTTAAATGCAGATTTTTTCTACTCTAGCAATAAATGAAAAGCAGAAGCTAAAAAAACACTAATTTAACTAAATAAATGTTGTTGATTGTGTACCAGACCAGAAAAGTTCAATAGAAATTGTTTGAACGAACTTTGAGTAGGAGTTCCAAATAATGGCCAATAATCAAGGAATTAAGCCAATAAATTTTATAGAACTTCATAAATATACTAAGAGAACACGACAATTCATCGAACTATTTGCATCTACCACAACCAATCCAGAAGCAATCAGAATATAGATGACAAGAAGTACATCATTTATATGTTGTCTCTTCTGACAACTACCCTGGCGTCTTTGAATCAAACTTTCCCATGCTCATTACATTACGAGTACAAGGGAAACCATGATATTCTAATTTCTGCACTTACCTCAAGGACGGTTTCATACAGGAGTATGCCACTCATGGTCAGAGAAAAGCCCAGAGGACCAATTATTTGAAGGAATAAACTTTTAAAGGAGTTCCAGATAAATGCCAATAATTTAGAAACTAATCCAAGAAAAAATAGAGAACTTTAGAAATGTTGTATACAGACATATTTATTCACCAAACGATATTTGCTTCCAGGATCAAAGATCCGAAAGAATTCCAGATAGACACAGCAAAAGTAAGTAATTTATTGTTTGCTTCATATTTTACGCCCCCCAACCCGAACCCTAAATTCGCGTTCATATGCATTTAAAAGGAAAAATAACTCATCTTTTCAAACCTATATACATGAACAGGATGTGCCTCTTTCAGTCAACCAAATAAACCCATAATTCCAAACAAACAAATCGTAAACCAATCAAATCCCATGTCAAAATATAGATCCTTTGAATAACTAAATCAAACATAAATCCACACAAACTAGCAGAAATACACGCACAAGATACGTATAACTATTTGTAAGTATTTCTATACAAAGATCGTACCTTTACTTCTTGAATCTGTACAAAAAGTCGTGGGTTGGTTCGCGGTGCGGTCGAAAAGCTTAAAGAAGGGAAAAAAAAATAAAGTTCTATGGGAGTGATAGGGTAGTGGTGAGACCAGGGGAATATACATAGGACTCCACATATCTATTCGCCACGTGGAACTCATAGGATTCGATAACAAATCAATTCATCAAAGGCTTATTAGCACAAAA